CAACCACAGAATATGGAAACAGAACTGATCACAGGGGAAAATGCAATTAAAATACCTTCCTGCATTTTGCAGCCACAAAATCGTTGGCAAATCACTGTAATCTGGCTTTACTGAAGTGGAGGGCATGAGTCAATGCACCAGGAAAGAGTTTCAGCTAAGTACTTTTCAAGTTAATAACCTTGCTCAGGGACAGTTCAGAGCCTTTTATACCTTCCCTCATAGAAACTGGGATCCACAAGTGACTTTTCTTACTGTCCTTTGCTTCCACTGCAGTGCTGAAAAAACCTTTGAAGAGACTACTCAGTTCAGTGACTGCATATGCCACAAGTGCAGCAGACAGAAAAACTGAAACTTCAGGTTGACAGAGATTCTGTCACCTTTTTTTTACCTTTAGGTTTTGTTTCTGTCTCTTAATAGGAGACTGGTTTTGTAAATTACAAATTAACTTTGAGCAAGAACAGCAAGCAAATCCATCCGGCCTGAAGCAAGAAGAGCCTTCAGGCGTGTGTTTGTAGGATTTCTTTAGAAGGGCTCCCTGGACACATAAAGGGAGTTCATTAGTGGCGGTTTGTATATCACTGCTGCTATCTTGTTGATAGCATGCTTGTCTCCAATCTTCTTTGTCTGAGTCCAATTCAAATTGGAATTCAGACAGAAGTAATAACCAGAGTGGGATTCTCATTCATTTTTTCATCTCCTTCCAAATTCCATGCTTGCAAAGGTAGTTCTTAGATTGCAACTTTGACAAAAAAGTCTTCCACTATTGCTTTTGCCTGGACTGAGATCAGTCTTCCTGAGATTATTTATTCTTTTGTGTGTATGTGTGTGTACTGAAGTTGAATATTAAGATTAAAAGGAGCTCTTCGTTCTTTTTCATCAAAGAGTTGAACACTCCCTGACCCCTGAGTGACCTTTTAGGTGATGCTTTGGGGAGACTAAAATCTTCGAAAAAGCAAAGGCTCAAACCCATGAATGTTATTAACACTAGATGCTGAGCAAGCCTTTGATCAGGTGGAGTGGAATTATTTGATAATAGTCCTAATACAATGCTGAATTGGAGTCCTTTTTGGAGGTAGATTTCTTTCTCTATGTGACCTATACCAGATGTCAGGATTAATGTAGACAAGTTAAAAGTTTTGCTATTTTCTAGAAATATTTATAACACAGGCATATTTTATCATAAAGCTAATGAACAGAGTTTTAGCAGGAAGATTATTAAGGTTACCATCCTGTTGAGATTATCATACATCGCTATTACAAATGTAAATTGAAATGTTACCTTCCTGAAGAGATGAGAAAAAGATTTTGCTGTGTAGTGTTTGAGACAATAAACTTTGGGACAGAACGGTAATGGAGAAATGAATGCATCAAATTAAAACTTGGCAAGAGAGGAAAAAAAAACCCTTGGGTTTTTTTCCCTTAAATGTTTAAAAGACACATTGTCCAGATGTAAGGAAATGAATCATTAGAGAGTAAACCTGGCATTATCCCTGTATTGAACCCGAGGAATGAAGCAGGATTCATTCAGGGCTGCTTTTTCTTTGAGGATGGCAAAGATTAGCTGATTTATGTGAGAAAATTTAAGAGATTTTTTTCCCCTAAGATTTCACAGATTCCCTTGTTTCATGATAAAAATAAGTTTTGTGGGCTTCTTTGGTTTTCTTTTTTCCAGTAAGTGTCATTGTGAATCAAAACTTCTAGAAGATTTTTCAAAAATTTGTATGTCTTGCTGTCAGTTAGTTCATCATTATACTCAGTGTAACCTTTCTGTTGCTCATTTCAGTGCGCTAGTCTATTTTACATCTCCTGAAACCAACAAGGGGGGGAAAAAAAGCCCTATTTGAACTTTACCCTGTGATGTAATATCTCTTTGTTTGTACTCCAAAATTTTATAGGCCTCCTTTGCTATTGTGCCTTATTGAAAACTCATGCCTTATTTGCTGTTCATTATTATCTTTTCAATACTTCTGCTTCTTAAGATTCCTCATCCTCTTCAACATTTGTTTCAAATGATTTTTTTCTGCAAAGGTATGCACTTGCATTTTTGAAGGGAACTGGCATATTGCTATTATCTAACCGTTTTTCTAATTTGTTTGGTCTCTGTCATGAGCTGTGTGTTGTCCAAGACAGATGTTTGCAAAGTATATTAGTTAAGAGTCTGCAGATCTCAAATGCCTGGCACGCATGGATGATGCAAACAGGTTTAAAGACAGGAGAAGGTAGGCTGAAACTTTCAGTTACTTGTGAAACAGTAAAAATTAATAAATGGATGAGGCAGACAGTCCATTCTAAACACATATGATACTCTGCTAGAGTCAATCCTAAAACACAGCACTGCTCTATTTTTAATGCACTTACAAAGTTTCATCTGCAAATTTCATTAATATACTCCTGTAGATCCAGGATGGCTTCTCCTCAGGAGTCTCTACTTTCTGGATCATAAAGTTGTCTTCACTATAATTTAGGAACCTCTGCGATGATGCATGTTCAGCTGTATTTGTTACTCAACAGATGTCTGGGTAGTTAAATTCCTCCATGAGCCTTTATCAGTACTTCTATTCTGGGATTCCCAACTGGTTCAAGATGTACCTCTCCTAGTCGGCAGCAGTACCACTGCTCAGTGATCAATACACACAGCTTGGGTCAGGCTTGTTCAGCAGAGAACTAGAGTGGCTGGTGGCCCTGACCACCACCAGTCTCGCTGCTCGAGTTGACCAGGTAGGCCTGGAGTCAACATCTTGTTGGTTCCTGCTCAAAAAGGACAGGGTTATAGGGGCAGCTGGGGATAGGGCCCACATTCATAATTCTTGAGACCATCTGCTGCGGTAACTGTCGCTGCTCTTCCTGTGGGGCTGCCGCCTGGGCTTGCTGCTCCTCCATAAATTTCGACAACACCTGCTGCTCTCACTATTCCTTCATATATTACATCTACAACAGAAGCTTGAAAACATGCGCTGCTCACACTTCATTTAAACAGCTACCTTTCCGACATAACGCGCCCATTCCAAAGCCGCCCCTTCAAGCAGTTTAGTTTCAATAAAACAGGCGTGCTAACAAGTTAAGAATGCTAAGGGTGAATGTCTCTTCAGACCTATCTGGGATGGGTTCTTCAGCCATCCCAGCTGCTCTTCCCACTCCCTGGGTCATCTCTTGTCTTGGAGAACCATTTGTGCCTGCCTTGGCCACTGGTTTCAAGGACTAAGCAGGAAGCATTTAACATTCTGCCAGAAGGATCAACACCCACCAGCAGTGTGGCAAAGTTTTAGGCAAATTATGCCAGCCTGCTCTATTCCCTTAGGCTACTTCTTTGCATTTCGTACTAAGGAGCTTTCCCTAGAGCTGGTCAAAGAGTAAAATAAGAATCTGATTTGCATCTAGAAGTGCTGAATCTGGATCACTATGACTCACAGAATCATAATATTAGTTATTAATGAGTATGCAGCCTACTGCTGATTATCTGTGAAAATGCTCCCAAATCCTCAGAGTTCATGGAATTTCCAGTCTGAATGATATTCACCCAGGAATTTAGATGTCATTCTTCCATCTAGAAGTATTTGTCATCCAGAAACCAGAAAAAATCCTAGCCACTTTTTGGTTTTCTGAGCAATCAGAAATGAACAAACACAGTCAAAATAAATGGCTTATTCTGAGTGAGCTGAAAAGCACTTGTTCTCCTTCTGCACTGGCTGTGCACCAGTAAGTATTAAATTTACAGGTGTCAGAACTGGTTTGCAAAACATTTCTTATTAAAAAAAGGATTTCCACCTCCCAGCAAAGGCATAACTAAATTCTCTGTAATTTCAACTAGTCCTGTTCTGCACTGCAGCAACTGGTGAAGTTGGTCCTCTGACATCGGAAGTTTTGACTGTGTTATAGACAACTTTCACTTTGTCTGAAGTCAAAGTGCTTCCTTCTCCTGTTGAAAATGGGCAAGAAAGGAAGAAGATGAGACAATATCATTCGAATATCCCTATCAGTTTGAAGATTTTTGCCTCTCTGCTAATTTTTCTTCCCGGTCACTTAGAATATGCTGATAAAAGGCAGGATGTGTTTCAGGACACTACTCACCATTTAAAAACAAGATAAAGTGCAACCAAAAAGAAATGCTTCTTCCTTTTCAACAACTAAATTGATCTCCTTTGCCTGCACCCCTCACCAAGTATCTGACTTCTTCTGGCTGGCTAGCAAATATAAACTCAAACACCTGTTTACCAGACACAGAGCTATGTGTCTGCCATTGCCGATCCATCTGTGGAACATAAACATAACTTTCACCAGCTGCTTCTTTTAGCATGGGCTGGTAATGGAAGCCATTATAGAGCATATCAACAACATGCTTTCCTAATAATCATGGGCCAGAGCATCACAGGGTATAAACTGGCAAAGCCTCATGGAAAGTGATACTGATTTACACCATCAGAGGACCTCACCCTGCTGTGTTTGTTTTCTTCACACTCTTCTTCTTTTAGCACTCATTTTCCTAGTTTCTAGTTTGTTTCTGTTTTGTTTGTTTGTTTGTTTGTTTGTTTTTTTGTTTTGTTTTTTTTCCCCATCATATTATACTAATGAGGCAATGTGTTGTGAAATAATTCCTGGGTCAGGTTCAAGCAGTAATGGATAATTACCTTGGGTACCATACAGCCTCAATATTAATGACTCTAAGAAAACCTCTGAAGATTCAGAGGTGTGATACTGAAATGACTCCAGCTGGATTTGGGCCAAACACCCCACTCAACTCTATCAATTTCAGCAGAATTAAGCCTGCTTTTGTTTGTTGCAAATGTGTTGTAGGTGATTCACAAAATCATGTCCAACCATGTTCACACTCTTCAGATTTAAGTCAAGCTTGAAATCTCAACAGTACAAATGGCAGATTCCTTTTTTGTCTTGCATGAAGACTAGTGTCATGACTATAATTGAATTGCTGATAGATCCCCTTATCTCTCAGGCTGCTTCAGGATGCAGTAATGAGGGTCTGCTCTTGATGAGCATCAACATACCTCTTTCCCTGTGTCACATCAGTTAGGCAGGTCAGGATCTTGATGGTGACCAAAGACAACATTCATCCTATGACCAGGTAGTTCATTTTCCTTTCAGTGCAAAGGGCAGAAAGGCCACGAGACTTTTTGACTCTTAATTTTCCAGACATGAGACAACCTGGAACTCAGAAAAGAAATTCCATTAGTACCTGAGGCTCTCAAATGGGAAAAACTTGTACAGCTTCAGAGATGTCAAATTGGGGGAAATCTATCCTGTTGAGTTCAGCCCAGAAATGGCAGCATTCTCTGAGACTTACCAATTAAAATTCCCCTTACTAATTTTGTAACATATGCTGAACACTGAACAGTGTTTTCCAGGACTTCTGCAATGGCAAAAATCAATGCTCACCTCTAATGTATTCCGACTTAAAGTGTGCAACCTTGTTTAAAATGCACTGCTAAAGCATATATTTTCATGTATCGTCATGTCTAAATGCATGATAACCAGGTTGAAAATCAAATTATCTGTGTTAAGGTGAATATTACAATGTGACTACTGCCTGCTGTGCCGCGAATGAATCTTGTAAACACAATCAAATATTTCTCTCCCTCTCACACATGGAGAGACACATGCACGCCCTTGCACAAGAAAAGAGATTCTTCACCTTCTGCCATTGTATTGTCACAGCAGCTCATGTTTATTGTGAATGACATCTTCAGCTACAACTCAGCATGAGCTCTGGTATGCTGGAGCTGAACATCCCACTAGGAAAATCAGCAGTGACATTAAAGTTGTTTCATGAATAATGAAAAAATAAATATCACATTTACTGTAGGTACACAAAATGCTTTGTTTAACTAAAAGCAGAGAAATTCCAGGTCTCTGAGGGTAGATACTGTTTTATTAACTGTGGATAGAGAACTTATTTAGATGGAGCTGTTTTCTTTACATTGCTAATTTTCTCAATTATACAAATGAAAGAAAATGTGATCAGCACTATTAGTAAGATACAGACTTCTCTTTTACAAAACTCTGAACTCTCAGAAAATCACAAAACAGCAAATACTCCATGCTTGCAGCCATATAGCATGCAATTTATGTTCTTATAGAGTAACTTATGTTCGGTATGAGGAGGCTTAAATATGTGTCCCAAGTCCAAATCTGTGCAACAAGAGTTTTAATCATTTATGGGGGTAAAAAGGCTTCAGAGACAGTAATGCAATTATATAAGTGTATAATGCAAAAGAGAATTCAATTGTCTCGATGCCATACAAGGCAAGGTTATTATAGGATCTCCGCAAAAGACACTCAAAACATGACTGCACTGCATCCAGAGTTTTGCTGGCAGCATCAGTGTGTGTTCCTGCCAGCCGTCAGAAGTTCATAATCACAAATTTCAGGGAGAAGAAACAAGCCTACTTTGAATTACGGTGTTACAGTGACCAGACATTTATATAAAAGTTATTTGTAGTGGAAATGCTACATTTTGTCCTATTAAGGACTAAGCAAACACACTTTTTACAGAGCACTAATGTGTCAGGCAAAAGTGAAATCTTTCAATGATTTCAGGCGTTGTGCTAGACTGAAACTTGTGATCCTAAAATGCAACGGCTTTTAATTAAATGCAAATATACTTGCTTACAGAAGCGGAAAACAGTCTCACAACTCACAACTGTCCCTTAAAAAAAAAAAAAAAAAAAAAAAAAAAGTGTAATGTTTCATCCATATTCATAGCGAGAACCCTGAGAAATGTTCTGAAGTGCCAAAAAGTATGAAAATTAATAACAAACACATTGCCAATATCCTTCTAACTATTGCTTATGAACTTATCAGCATGGAAATAGTTACTCTCAGTAGAACTTTCTGAGTAGCAATCATAAATAATCAGTTTCATAAATAGTGCAACTAGTAAGTACAGGCTTAATATTAATGATTCAGAAGAACCACCTTCTCTCAAGGAGGGTGAACAAATTTGGTTTTTAGCTTTCACCGAGGCAGGCAAAAAAAATGGTGTCTTTTCCATAAACCTAGGTCTTCCATTTTTTATACAGAGTAGCATATTTTATTACTTCTTTCTTGCAAGTTCAAGTTGCCTTTATTTCCTATTCATAGAGGAATGCTCATCTCCTGTTTGAAAACACCCATGTATTTACTCATTTGTTTAACAACATCCTAATGGCAGTTACAAAAAGAACAGTAAACAGAAATAATCCACTTTATTGGTACCTGTACACAAAGGCCCTACTCCTTCTTATTCTTTGCCTTTAAACAAGACAGAAAATTACAAATATTTTTTGTTCTTTTTAACATGTGCAAATGCTTGCAGCAAAAACAATAAGAACATAAGTCTAAGGTATATTATTTCTTTAGTCTCCCACTACTGTCAGGAGGTCTTAGGCAGGTGGTTTAGAGTTCCTCCTACTAGCTGCAAGGCCAAATCATGAACTGAGAGAGGGCCAACATTTAGATCTGACATGCAGGAAGAGGTGCATCAGGTATCCCTTGTCATGCAGTGAAAAGAGTTAAAAGTAAGCAAATGTATTAGCAGCTAAACCTGTGTATTAATGGGGAATGTGTCAGTCAATAGCAATGCAAGCTGTGTTTCTATCTATTATACAAGAAAGGTAAAAGTATTCTACTAGGTCACTTAGTTACTTCAACCAGATGGAATCCAAAATGTTCAGAAAATTAAAAATCCATTTATTCCTCCAAAGTTTCATTCCATCTGTTTTCAGACATTTATGGAATCCTTTTGCATACAGGATATAGCAACTGGTGCCTTGGAAATATTTCTTCCCTGTGCAGCTCACAGAAAATCAGACTGGATATAGACAGTACTGGAGTAAGCCCTTTTTTTCAGGTGTTCTTATTTCTCTTCAAAATATAGGAAACTCTGGTCTTGTTTTAAATAGAGGAATCATAAAACCCAGTGTGTTATTATCTGCAAAATTGCAACAAGAACTTTTAATCTAAAAAAAAACCCCAACCCCAAAACAGGTTATTCCCTGCTCTTTCCACCTTGAAAATTTTAACTTTCCTGCCAGTCTGTTTCTCATTTTCAGCTTGTGGAGACAGTACGAATGATTCAGATGCTATGAAAGAATGCAGCCTGGCATGTAGTGATCTCCACCCTGAAGATAAAAGTGACAAAATTACCCCAGGAGTTATGAGCTCTAGTCATCATCAATCATTTTTCAAGAAATATTTTATTTAATTCAACTACATACTGTGCCTAGATCTAACTGGGGTATGGTCCCTTTCCTTCTATCCTTGTTCTCAGCATCTTCAGCCTTACCAGATGGAAGGATATCATCTGGCATGCAGGCCAGGCCAAATTTTCTGTATATGACACAAACATCCACATTTCCTCTGTTTCCGTAGGACCTTCTTTCCTTTGCCGTCAGTGGCTCATTCAATAGTTCAGCATCAATGAGCATTACCCTGCTGGGTGCAGAGAATACTTTACCCTCAGTGAAGCTCACCCACAAGGTAAGTACAGGCTATATCTGTACTGTCAGCTAAATTATAGTCCCACTTCACTCCTGATTCACCACACCTCATGTTAAATCACTCCCATCTTCTATGCTGGAAGAAGCCAACTGCATTCCTCTGAGCTGAAAGACATTCAACAGGTAACTCTGCCTCAGGATTATTTCTTATCGGTCAAAACCACACCAGGTTTAGTGATCTTACGGAGTCTTCCAATGCTACATCAGCAGTCTTTTGTACCATAAACACCCTTCATGCCCTTATGCCAAGGCTCAGATTACTTCACAATACGTGACTCAGGAAGATACATGTGTTCCACTACTTACATCTGCATTTTGTTCACCTCCCCAAATCATTTGGGTAACTGGCAGGTGAGTGTCACATAGAAAGACAAAGCACTCAGAAATCCCAAGCCATTATATCAAAAAGCAAAGAACTGGCTTTTAAGTGTAAGATCGCATTTTTTTTAAAAGTACTGAAAAAGAAAATCACAAATGGTGAATGATTTGTTGTTTTAGTCTTTGTGTTTTGTTTTGAATGTCAGGTCATGTCTTCACGTTTTCTTCTGCAACCCCAAGGTCAGGGAAAGAAAAGGAAGTTAATATTCATACTTAGCCTCATGCCATCCAAAACTGACACTTAACCCACCCCCCACCCCCCCAAACCCCGCAAATTCAGTGAGGGTATTGAAAGACTCTTTCTGAAAACTGGAACCAGTGACATCAAGTTCAGCTATAATGAGCCTGTAATTTTCATCACTACAGATTTGAAATCCACCAGGTTTGACTTTGGGGTTGAGGACCACATGCTAAAATACCATATTCAATCTGCAGCAGAAACAGAGACTAGATTTCCTCCTTTTTTGGACAAATACTCTCCTTCAGTTATAGAGAAAGCTATCTGAGGAAGCTTGCTGCCCAAGATGGACAAAATGCAAGTGGCAGAACAACTAAACTAGAAAAAACCTAACTGGTGCAAGAAGGGCTGCTGAGGAGCATTCCGAGAGTGCATCCATCCACATGAGGCAGGCACACATCTCCTTGGTGTCATCCTCTGTCCACACAAATAAAATACCTCTCTCTCAAGAGTTAAAACCAATTAAAGGTTTCCTTTGATTATACGGGGGGAACTCAGACCCACACCTCCTTGTCAGCTGAAGTGCCTGCACTGCTTCTCTTTTGTTTCACCCATCCCCTGCTAAGTTTAGAAGAAAAGGCAACAGCTGTGGCTACTGACAGAACAAGGTTGGCAGCTGCAAAACTGAGATGCCACATTTCAGTATATAATTTTCTTTCCACAGTGTCTCTCCCTAACTTTCCTCTTTAAGAGGCACTTAAAATCCATGTGTCTGACTCAATTATTGTTATTGTAGCTACGGAACAGAATGTGAAGTTGATGAGGGCCTACCTGTCTAGTTAGCTTCCCTTTCTGGATGCTTTCTTTCTTTGATTCATCATTGCTTGTGACACATGTATTGTCTAAACTATGTTCAAGAACAAGTCTCTAATACATTCAATGGAAGAAGGTGAAAAATCAGAAAACAGCCTATCAGTTGCATGCATAAATTTATGCACTAACTTTAAACATCGTATTTCTGAGAAACATCTTCTATAGAAAGCACGGTTTCATTGCAAATTAAGAATAACATTTGCAGCAAAATTAAGAATAAAATTTCTTTTA